CGTCGCCAGCGCCCCCGTCGCAGGCCCCCTGTGCCCCTCGGGGGAGCGGGGCTGCCAGCCCGGGCGGGTTACCCGCTCTGAGAGGCACGGCTCCAGGCTGCCGGGGTTTTTGGGTTTGCCTTTTTGGTGGGTTGTGGGTTTGGGGTTTTTTTGTTTTTTTTTTGGTTTTTTTTTTTTTCGGGGGGAAAATATTATTTACTTAGCATCACATTCCCCTGTTAGCTGGGTTGATGTGAAAACAGAGTTCCTTGACTGCAGTAGTTACTCTGGGTTTATGTCAAAGTCGCTTGCAGCAGAATTTGGCTTATAAAAGTTAATATGGAAGGCTGCATAAATAATCATTACTAAATAGCTCTCTGTATGTGCGTGTGTGGAAAAGCTAGTGCTGAGTGCAAACAACGTTAGCCGCTGTTGTGAAGGTGGTCTGTCCCGCCCGATGGATGGATTAGAGCATATACGACCAGATTCCACCCTTGCAGGTGACAGCCATGTTGGGGTCAGGATGAGGGTCACGGGTCATTTAGTGAGTATTGTTTTTTCTATTTTGGAAAGTAATGTGTTACCGACTGAACTTTTTTTGGGCCGTGTAGTCTAGCAGCCCCAAAATATGATGACATCTGCTGCCAGCAGCCCTGAGAAACAGAGCAGGCACTGCAGGATCCCATCCATAGGCAGAGATGTGCGTTCAGAGTCTGTACTGGTCACTAGGTTCTGTGTACTTTTAATACTAAGGCAGATGATTGCGAACATCACTCTTCTTCTCCCCTCTTTTTTTTTTTTTTTTTTTAAGTCCTTGTGAGGTGGTTGTGGAAGTTTGTTAATTTTTGCTCGTATGTGTTTTGTCTCTGGTTTTCTGTAAGTGTTCGGTAGATAATACGTGATTGCAGTTCCATCCAGCATGCTTCTTCCAGTTCCATCCAGCATGCTTCTTCCAGTTCCATCCAGCACGCTTCCCTGAGGTTTATTCTGCTGTCACTGGGGTTCGCTTACTTGGAAGGGTGATCCCATCCCATTAATGCCACCTACTTTTTGTAACCATGTAATACCAAAAAACTACTTGCTGACGATGCCTGTATGACTGGCCCAGCATTAAAATTAAATTCTCAAGGAAAAAACATGGTATGTAAAATAGCCACTTAGTAGAGTTGCTGCACTGACCTCTTCACATGTCATTATTGCTTCATGGAGGGGGGAAAGTCTCTGGTATAAAATCTAGTTGAAATTGATCTCTGAGGTTTTTATGGCCAAGATGAACTCATAATGCAGCTGGTTGTACAGAGTTGACCTGTGTAATTTCACATCTATTGAGTTTGGTTTTCGTGTCAGAATTAAGTAATGTAAAAAGAAGTATTAAAACTTTTCATTTAGAAACCCTTGCATTTCTAGATTGCAAGAAGCAGCTAACTGATTAAGATGAAATTAAATAGTCTGGATTTAATTTAACTTCTAGTCTTCCTGTTCTAGCACTACATGATCATCTACATAGAAGAGCTGGCTAAAATGTGCTTTCTTGGTAGAGACTCTGTAAATGTTCTGCTCGTGAACCAGGGTGTTACACAAATAAACCTAACAAATAGCAGTCACGTATTTCTGTTGCTAAACTACAGGCCGAAGTACAGAGCGAGAATTTGAGATGGAACAGGTATAGAAAGAGATAGTATGGAAAATGTTGTTCGTCCCATGCAGAAGTAGAAAGCAGTGACCAAACTCGTTTTTCTGCACCTGTACACACCTGGTCCTAACAGCTTTAAAGTATACTCCATGAAGTTACTATACTAACTTTTAGTAGTAACTGACCCTTTAGATCAAGGTCTCTCTTAGTAGAAGCAGTGGCTGAATTGCCCTGTTTATTAAAATAGCTGTCTTACTTTTTTCTTTACCTTTTGTTTACTGAGAGTTCGAATGAACTGGGTAATGTTGGCCGAATACGGTAGATTACTTGAAATACGTTTCAGTAACAGTTTCGATTTGCTACTGAAGCTTTTTACAGTTATTACTGCTGGATAAATTGGCAGTATTTACATAAAGAGACTGATTTTGTATGGTGTATTTCTGAATACCCTGAAACATAATACAGCACTGAAGCTTGCTGGAAGTAAACGGTTGCTTTAAAACCATAACACAATTAAAAATAGTGAAGTTTGAATGAGTTTTAAGACCATGCACATTCCAAGATAAATGATTAGTAGTCTGGGCCTGAAGCTATTACGGCTGAAATATTTACATAAGAAGTTTAGAAACCCACCTGGTAGGCAAACTTTCAAAGAGAGAAAAAGAAAAACAGATCTCCATCAGTCTTCTAGTTTTCCTGTAGTAGTCGTCTTCCTTCAGAATTTGTGCCAGCACTCTTGGCCTTCTCTGAGCCTCCTGATACCAAAGTGGCTTTCCTCTCAGCTTGTTTCTTGGCACTAAGTGTTGTAGAGTAGCTTTTTAAAATTTTTTATTTTTTATTTTTTTAAACACAATCCTCCTCTGGCTGCTGTTCAGAGCACTTCGGTTATTACTGTGTGTCCCCCAGTATGCTCTCAGTCCATGCTCCTGTCTTGTAGTCTGGCTCTCTGGTGTCTGACTGGGACACATACCTGTTTCCCCTCAGCCCTTCAGCAGGTCTGTCATCCCTGTGTGCGTACCTTGCTACTGGAGGATGCTTGTTATAGTTTCTTGGGCAAACAAATTCTGGACTGGCATTTCAATGGTGGTTCTGTTATCCACAGCCATTCAGCTTTAGTTGAACTGCTGTATGTGGGTGTCCATGCATACTGGAGTTGTGGAGACTGTTTAGCATCTTTGTACATCGAACGCCCTTGAGAGAACAAAAAGGGCTTTGCGTTGTTTTCCTCTGTGACTGAATTTTGTAGGACACAGATGTGCTTTTAGAAACATCCATTCATAACTAGAAGGTACTCTGGATGGAAAAGAAATAATGCCCATAACTGGTTATGATTTTTGCTAGCACTCTTAATAGGCACTGTAAGACCCTGCGTGTGAACAGCAGTCACACATGTAAATTCACAGCCTCTGCTTCTGAAGAAAGGTAGTTTTGTGGCTCCAGAGAAGGTTCTGTTAAGTGGAGCTTGAAATTTGAGTACCGCAGTGCCTTGAATGACGTTAAATGCAGGAGCTCATAAGGGGAGAGATGGTCTCGTCTTGTTCCTTGATAATTCATTTAATGTCACCATTGTCTTGGGATTTTTTTTCCCCTCACTTTCTTCATTACTTTTTTAAGAGGTTGAAGGTCATGGTGTTCTTTCCTTCCTTTCTTGCTTTCTGCACTTTTTGCACTAGCTGTAGCTCAGTCAAACCTTTCCCTCTTTAAGTAGACCTCTCCACAAAGCTACTTCGAACCAAGCTCTAACATGCAGAGCCTCTTCTTTAAGCCAGTTTGAAGGAAGAGGGTGGGTGATGCAGGTAGGAGTAGGACATGCTGCAGAGGAGACAAAATGCCTTCACTAGCCACATAGTTCAGCTTTGGTACTTGGAACAAAGTGAGCGTGTTCTAATTGTTAAGTGAATTAGGACTGAGGGTGTACGGCAGAAACAGTTTTTAAGTGAAGATTTGAGCTGTTTGTAGCATTGTTTCACTCTGAAGGGGCAAAAATCAAGTTACTCTACTGTACTGTTTATGGCTGACCTATCTTAAAATACATTAATCTACCCGTGCAGGATAAGAATGAGGTGAAAATGAGGAAAGTGTGTGAGTGATGCAGGAACCATTATTATTTCCATAGATTCTCAGTTTGCTTAACCCAGCAAGATCAAGTGCAGGTGGAGAGGAAAGTTATTCTTAAGTTCTGCCTAAGGCATCACTTAACTTTACACTAGTATTCTTTGGAGAAACAAAAAAGAATAGTAAAGGAACAGATCTTTGTGCATTTGTTGTTTTAAGGAGACAAACTCACGTGAGTGGGCTGGAGTAACGTGTGTTTTGAGTACAGTTAGCAGGAATTGACCCAGTTGGGTATAATTCTGTTCTCCCGGACGTTTGTGAACAGCAAGCACGGACATTTGTGAACAGCAGTATAGTAGTCATTTTAGATGTGCTTGTACCTGCATGACCACATCAACTCAGTGTAGAAGGCAGGAGAGCGGAAGTTACTCTGCTGGTGAATCTGAGGTGGGGTG